AAGATGTGGCATCTATGACTTTGGAGGACTCATAGCTCATCTGAGCTCCATCCGTGAAGGGTTTGGCTGGATCTGCCAGGTCTCCAGACCACTGGTCCTCAGGACGGGCCTCGGCCCATGCTGAGGGGAGAGGAGAAGGTTAGTGTCCTCAGCCCCACCTAAGGGCACAGGGGTCAGGCACCCAGGCCAATCAATCAGTCAGGCAGTTAGCATGTACCCCGGTGCTGGTCTGGGCTTCTGGGCTGGATGAGACAAGGGCCTGCCCTCCAAATCCCACAGAACACCCTGCCCTGACCCGCATGCAGCTCCCACTTTGGTCCACATACACACACATACCTCAGGAGTACACCTAGAGCCCCTGAAACCCAAGTCACTGAAATGCCAAGGAAAGGACCATGAGAACCTTCCTTTGGCTGCAGCAAGAAATTCAGTAAAGGTTTGACTCAGCAGGCCTGCGTTGTCCAAACCCTAAACGTTCCAAAAGTTTGGTGCTTGACCTGCTCCTAAGAGGTAACCTCTAAGCCCTTGGATATTCTGCATGTTAAAGGTATCTTTGTTTACCTCAGGACTTGGGCCAAAGCAGATAGTTCATGCTAAGAGTGTGACTTACAGTGGTGACCACGGGTCACACAGTACCCATTTGACCTCTGAGAGCAGTTGAGATTTGAGTAACTCAAAGTCAGTATGCTCCATGCTTATGTGACTGACCCTCAATAAAAACCCTGCCCACCAGAGCTCAGGTAAGCATCCCTGGTTGCTGCATTGTCACACAGCATTGCTGTGAGAATTAAGCAGTGTCCACATGACTATCCTGGCAAAGGACATGGAAGCTCACAGCCACTGTCTCCCAGACTATACACCTTTTCCCACCACTGATTTTAATATGTATCTTTTCACTGTAACCAACCATTATGAGTATAACGACCTTGCTGAAACCTGTGACTCCTTCCAGCAAATCATTAAGTCTAAGGGTGGTCTTGGGGATCCCCCCACACACATACACCCTCGAGGCCACTTGCTACTGAGGAAACTGTCCCCAAGTCTGGCTGGCTGTCAACCTGGTAGGGGATACATCCAGCCTCAACCCCCCTCCCCATCTCTGCCCTCAAGAGAACATCTGGCACTGGGAACTTGGTTAAGAGAAGAGTGAGCCCACCCTGCACAAGTGTACACTAGCTCAAGCTAGACCGGATAAAGGTAGGAGAGTTGCTCCTGAGGTTAGGGGGCATGGACATGCCACGTTTCAGTGACCTGAGAGAACCCCACCAGCACCCAAGCAGAAGTGCAAGCGGGAACTAGCAGAGGGTAAGTGCCCAGGAAGAGTCTGAGCAAGTGAAGGATGCCATCTGCCAGGCACCAGCAAGAGTGATGGCGGGGGGGGGGGGGGGCACAGAATGGAAGGGCAGATGGAAGCTAGGGTCAGCTGTACTACAGCCAGCCTGAGCCAGGCACAGGGATAGCAACAGCTGACTCCTACACTGGAAGGCCTTCTTTCCCCCATGGCAGACTCCTACAAGCCTGAGAGGCTCAGCTCAAACCTGATGTGGGAAACAAGGGCAGAAGAAAAATTATTAAATGTCCTTACCCACTCTAGGGACTCAACTGCCTCCACCTTAACACTTTGCTAAGGGCAAAGGGCAGTCATAGCCTGATGAGCCCCCTACCCTCAACCAGGACCCTATAAGTCTACTTTAACAATTCCTTTGGAAACTTTATCTCTAAACCCTCCAAGATATATGTTGACAATCATTCCCAAGCATATGGCCCACTGATACACATCTAAGGGTCTCACAAAAAAAGGTTTTATTACTGGTAATGAATCACCTTTTCCCCAAAAATAACTAGCCCCTCAAGGTCCTGGAACCCTTGCCTCCAAAATTCCTCAGAGACTTACGCCATCCCTGATCCCCTCCCAACTTGCAAGCATATAATGGACCACTCCTCACAACCCCTGGGCAGCAGCTCTTTCTGCCCATGGGTTCTATCCCCGTGCCTTAATAAACCACCATTTTGGGGCGCCTGGGTGGCTCAGGTCATGATCTCAGGGTCCTGAGATCGAGCCCCGCATTGGGCTCTCTGCTCAGCGGGGAGCCTGCTTCCCTTCCTCTCTCTCTGCCTGCCTCCCTGCCTGCTTGTGATCTCTGTCAAATGAAAAAAAAAAAGAAAAAAAAACTTAAAAATCTTTTTAAAAAATAAAAAATAAACCACCATTTTGCACCAAAGACATCTCAAGAATTATTTCTGGGTCATTGGCTCCGGACCTCACCCCACTGAACTTCACCTATATTCTAAGGCCTCACCAAACCAATTAGCCAAGATCAAAAAATGGCAGTGGGAAACAGGAAGTAATCCGCGGCAGTCCTCACACAACACGATCCGACTGTTAATATCTTAGAACAACCTCTGCGGAGCATGTGTGCGCGCGCACAGGGAGAAGCTACAGTTACAAATGTTCAGAAATGGGTCCTGAAACACAAGCTCCCAGTGGGCGGGATGTGGGACAATAACTGGAGGACGTCCGCTTTTTCCTCAAGAATCTCCACCTAAGGTCTGACCATCTTCGGCAACGGCTACTTGCTACCACGGCCTTCACGAACGAACAGGCTGTTTCCACCGCCAGCGCCTGTTCTCAGAAGGGGCGGTCGGGGCTCCCCAGGCCCGGGCAGCTCTGGTCCCCACACACACCCAACGGCCCACCACCGGGCTCCGCACCGCCTGGCGCCCCAAGGAGGTAATGGCTACAGCACAACACTCGGCACAACACGGGGGCAGCCGGAGGAGCTCGGGCCAGCGCCTCCCGCCGCGCGGGGTCAGCGTCTCCTCCCCAAGGCCGGAGCGCTCGTTCTGGGCGGAGGCACGCGGAGTGCCAGCAGAGAGGAGACACAAGCCGGGGCTTGGGCCATCCTGAGACTCCCCACAGGAAGGGAGCCCAACTCTGAAGGAGCAGCGCGGACGTGCCTCTGAAGGGGCACCGCGGGCAGGAAGCCCGGGAAACTCGGCTGGGGTGGGGGGGAGACAGCGGCGCCAGAACCACTTCCGGGTCGGGACCCGCCCGCGGGAGGCCTCCGAGCCGCCCTTCCTCAGGGCTAGAAATGGGCGACGCTCCTCGGCGCCAACGCCCCCGCCTCCCTCCGCCAGGCTGCACGCCCTGCCCCAAGGCGTTTTGGCGCTTCTGGCTGCCTTGCCCCCGACTCACCACCTCCCCGGAGCCACACGGGCGGCCGGCCGCGCAAGGACCGCGACCGACCACCCCGGCTGGGAACCGGGAGTGCCCAGTCCCGCCAATGACTGCTTCTGGCGCCTGTGCCCTTCCGCCCGCTGGCGACCCCCGCCCCCACTCGACGCCACACGAGCACGCGGAGGGGAGGGAACGGTATCCCTGTTGCTTCTGCGTGTCTATGGAAACGGTCCACGCCTGAGGTGAAAAGCGTCCAAGACCGTCTCTGGGGCGAGATTCTCTGGCCAATGTCCCCAGCGAGCCAGAGAACCAGCCTGTCGGGCTGAGACCCGGCATCTCCCAGGAGACGCCAGGCTGCCATGATCCACCACCAGGACCTCCCTGAAACGCTCAGGGGCCTGGGAACGGTTGCTGGTTGAAGGCAACCCTGGCTCTCGGGCCAGGCGCCTGGAGAAACAAGCCCTGGGGCCAGACCGCCCATCACCACGCCGGCACGACCTCAGGCGTCGGTCCCCTAACTACACTTCCGCCCAGCCAGATTCCGCCTCGGACTCCCACCTGGTCACCTGCTCCCTTCAGCCTCCACTAGGATACTCCTTCCTCCGGGTCCTTGGGCTCTCACCAGCCACCCCACCACACCGGGCTGCCTCTGTCAAGCCCCTCTGTACCGTGTGGCATTGTGAAATGACGGGTTTCCTGACTGTCAGCAAGGTCCCTAAAGGCTGAGACAACACTCCCCAGAAAGCCTGCCTATTACGTCCAGTCCTCCGTGCCTGGCTAGGTGGGGGGTCCTTCCTTGAGTCGCCTGTCACAGCCTTGTCACATAGAATGTAACAACCTCTGGACTAGCAGCTCCTGAAGTCAGTCTCACTCACCCTGGTCTCAACACCTGGCGCGTTACAAGTGCTCATAAATTGCGCAATGTATCCAGTCTGTCACCAGAATCCTAAGAAAAGCTTCCCTTCTCTGTCATCCCTCTTACCATTCTCCCCAGGAAAGCAAGCACGGGGCCTCATCTGACCTTTCTCCCAGTGAGGCTGGCCCTTCAAACCCTCCCTGGCCCCCAGCCCCAGGGATATGTTGACAGCAAGCCCATCAGTGTGGTGTTAGCTGGGACAGAAGTAATGGGAATCCTTTCTCCCATTTTTATTTCTTAGCGTGTCTGTGTGTGTATATGTGCATGTGTTCACGTACACGTGCACTTGTGTTGAAAGGAGTCCAAAAGCCCAGACATCCCTATCCCATCACCTGTGGCTCATCCAGCTGGAGCACAAGACCTTCCCTTGCTGACTATCCGTTTTGGTGACCCAAGTGGTATTTCTGCAGTCAGGTGGACACCCCATGATGCTGGTTGTTACAGTTTGGGGAACAGGAAAACAAACTGGAATTAGGGGAGATAATACGACTGGGGTGGGAGTATATCCATCAGAATCAGAGCTCAGGGTCTAGCTCAGGGAGAGGAGCTGGCTCAGGGAGAGGCTGGGCTGCAGCCAGTGCACTAGGAATTAACCCTGAGGTGATCCAGCTCTTAGAGGAGTGGATAGTATTTTCCAAAGAGCACCAGAACTGGGAGACCATCACAGTCACAAAAGGCTCAACCTCAAAGGCTAGAGGGAAGCCAAGACAACTATAGCACAGAAACTCAGAGAGGAAAACATCTCCAAAAAAGGAAGTGATCCCCAGTAACAAAATCCACAGAGAATCAAAGTGCTCAGGCACAGGGAAGGTACCAGAGACCCAGGTCAACAGAGGCCATGAAGATGGCATGTAAAGTGACAAAAGGTCATGTTGAGAGCAGGAAACCCATTGTACTTGCCAATTCCAGTTGGCAAGGAAGGGTCACAATGGTGTAGGGAGTAAGAAGTCAGGTTTGGAAAATGGGAGAGGCAGGTCTCAGTTCTGGCCCCTGACAAAGCTGCCCTGGCAGGCTGTGCTGGGCAAAGACCATACTACAGGATGTGTCACTGTCATGAGTGGGCACTCCCTGGGCCCTGCAGTTCAACTGCCAATCGGAGAACACCACCCTTCTGTTCCCCAAGCCTGGTGTCACTACACAAAGAATACAACATGAGCTATGAGAAACCTGGGGAAGAAGTAGCAGTATCTGACCTCCAGAAACAAAACATCGTTAGAGATCATGTGAGGTTAAGCCCAAGCCCCAAATCATACAGGACAACCAGAGGTCTGACCTTCATGACCTGTGCCCTTAGCCACCTCCTCACCCTCTGTGGGCCCCACTTGGGGCAAGGGCAGGTTTCCTGCCAAATCCCTTGGTGCCACTGCCATGGGCCCTCCTGAGGATGCACCTGCCTGGGCCTGTCGCCTCTTTTCCCGGTGCAGCTCCCGGAGGTGGGCAAGGGCACAGTGGACCTCCCGAGACACCCGGAGGCTGCGTTCCCGGTTTGGATCATTCTCCAGGAGGACCCGTAAACCAGCAGCAAAGTGTGACAGGGCCTGGCCCAGGTACTCAGGGCTCAGAGCACCCACATCAGCATCTTCAGTCCCCACACCCACTACAGCTTCTGTGAAATCCGGCTCTCGTTTTCCGGACACTGAGCCTTTCCCTTCCTGCCACGGCAACCCAGAGCCACAAATGTCCCCACCATCTTCTGAATCCTGGGGGAGGCCATGGGGTGGGGGCTCCCCATGGGCCTGCAAGAGGTTAGCAACATCGGCCTCGGCTGCATCTCCAAGGCCCACGTGGCTGGCTAGTGCGACAATGCTGCGGCGGAGCTGAGGCACAGTGTCCGGCTCGGGAGCGCCAGGAGGCACACACTCGGGCCAGAGCTTCCTCCAGGCACTGTTCATGGTGGCAGGCTGCAACTCTGCCCAGGCTCTAGCTATATTGTCCACAGCAGTCACAACAGTATAGCTGCACCAGAACTCCCGCACGGACGGTCGGTCTTCACCAAACGTCTCCTGGACCAGCTGGCTAAGCATACAGCGCAGGTAATACACCTTGAATGTGGCAATGATACCCTGGTTCATGGGCTGAATCAGGGCTGATGTGTTCTTGGGCAGGAACTCAACTCGCACATGGGGTGAGAGGCCACCCAGGTGAGCAGAGTGGCAGGGTGCACCGTCCAAGACCAACAGGGCACGGTGTGGGAGGCCGTGGCTGGCACAGTAGCTCTCCACAGCAGGGCAGAAGCAACTAGTAAACCACTCCTGGAAGATGCTGGGTGTCAGCCAGTCATTGCGGTTAGAGCGCCAGACCACCGGAAGGCTAGCCTTGGAGCAGCCCTTGAGGGCACGCGGGTTCTCCGAGGGGTACACCAGCAGCGGCTTCAGCTTGAAATCACCAGCTGCATTGCCACCAAGCAGCAGGGTCAGGTGGTCCTTAGAGGCCTTGAGGCCAGGCCCAGCTGCCCCTTCCAGGGCCAACAGCATGCGCTCTGGGAGCCGCTTCCAGAATAGGCCAGTCTCATCCACATTGAACACCTGGCGTGGTGAGTAGCAGCCCTCCTCTAGAATGGTGCGCAGCACTGGGGGGTAGTGGGCAGCAGCCTGGGTGTCAGCCACAGATGGCTCATCTGTCAAAAGCACATTGTGGCGAGCCTTGAATCGGGCAAACCAGCCATTACTGGCCCCAAAGGTCTCAGCCCGAGTGCCATTACCCTGCTCGTGCTGCAGCTGCATAAAGAGCCGTCGGGCCTTGTCCTGGATGAGCAGCGTGCTGACAGGCAGGTTCTGCCGCTTTTGCTCCTCGATCCAGAGGCTCAGCAAGCGTTCCATATGGCCCATCACCACACCCCGGCAGCGGGTCAGCTGTGTGGCACTTACCGGTGTGGCTGCCTGAGAATTGGCCCGTATCTTGTCCTTGTTGACACGGATCGAGGCAACAGTAGAAGTGGCCAGCCCTAGGGCCCGGGCAATCTGAGTCAGCTTCTCGCCTTCCTCAAACCTCCGAAGCACCTCTAATTTCACATGCAAGGTGATGGACTTTCGGTCCCGCTTGGCAGTGTGGCGGAGGCCAATCCCACCGAGGGATGCCTTCCCCGACACTTGCAGCTGGGGAGTTGTCTTCATTCTGCCTCTCTGGGCCATGCACCTTGATGAGGTCTCTCCCCAGTGCCTATCCACAGTAGCTACCAGTGTGCCCACGATGGCAGCCCCTTGGCCTTTCCTGCCATACCTGCCTCTGCCTGTAAGACAAGGACACATGGGCATTAATGTGTAAGTACATGGAAGTGCCAACCACCAGCTGGCCCTCCCATGTTCTGACAAAGAGCACCCAGCCCTGCTGACCACTGCCTCAGAGGCGTGCCCAATCCCTTCTTTTCCTACTGCTGAAAACACTGCACACTCAATTCCAACCATTCTTTGCATCTAGAGGAGCCTGTCACTTAGTTTTAGCTTATGAGATCAAGAAAAGTCCGCTAGGAGACTTTGCTCTCTTCCCCCAGCAAACCTCCTGCAACCCCGAGACAGTCTAGAAACCCACTTCCCACACACCAATGAGCAAACAAGCTACCCATTTCCATGTTTCCCACCCAAAGACATCAAACATCAGTGTGGGGCTGAATAATGGCTCCTTAAGATGTCCAAGTACTAATCCCTATGAATAAATTACCTAATATGGTGGGGCACCTGGGTGGCACAGTGGGTTAAGCCTCTGCCTTCAGCTCAGGTCATGATCTCTTATGGGATTGAGCCCCACATCAGGCTCTCTGCTCAGCAGGGAGCCTGCTCCCCACCCCCGTGAACTCTGCCAAATAAATAAATAAAATCTTATTTAAAAATTACCTAATATGGCAAAAGAGACACTGTGAGTGTGATTAAGTCAATAATCTTGAAATCAGGTGATTATCCTGGCTTATTCAAATGGACCCTAAATGTAATCAGAGGGCTCCTTGCAAGAGGAGGCAAAAGATTTCACTCAGAAAGCAGCAATGTGACCACTAAAGCCTAGAGCCTCCAGAAGGAAACAGCCCTGCTGATAACTTGATTTTAGTCCACTGAGACCCAACTCAGATTTCCGACCTCCAAGACCCCAAGATAATACATTTGTGTTATTTTATTATTTATTATTATTATTATTATTATTATTTTATTTATTTGTTTGACAGACAGAGATCACAAGTAGGCAGAGAGGCAGACGGGGGGGCGGGGGGGGGGGTAGCAGGTTCCCTGCTGAGCAGAGAGCCTGATGCAGGGCTTGATTCCAGGACCCCGGGATCATGACCGGAGACGAAGGCAGAGGCTTTAACCCACTGAGCCACCTAGGCGCCCCACATTTGTGTTATTTTAAACCACTCTTTTTTCAGTAATAGGTTACAGCAGTCATAGAAAACTAATGCAGGAGGAAACCAATATAATTCGTGCCACCCCAGAGAACATCTGGGGATAGAGGAGGAAGGTGGTTCTCCACACAGCAGCCACGAAGATTCAGTAAGCACTAAGATCCTGTCCCCGCTCTGCTCAGAGCTCTCCCATTTCTGAGTAAAAGCCACAATCCTCACCAGATTCCTCAAGCACTTCAAAGCCTCCTCCTTTACGTGGCTCACTACTACCCACATCCTTGGGGCAGACTAAGGGTGCTCCTGTTTCCTTCAGCCCAGGGCTCAGGCTCTTCCCTGTTATCTGCATGGCTTGTTCCCTCTCCTACAAATCTCTGCTCAAATGTAACCTAATCAAAAAGGCCCTCCCTACATACATTTTATTATACATCTGTCACATGCTGCCTGAGGGCAGGAACTGTGTCGGCTGAGCTCTCTTGTGTCCCCAGGCCCAGGAATAGTGCATCCAGTAGGCGCTTGATGATGAAATTATTAAACTTCAAGTACGTTATTATTAATTATAAAGTACAGCTGTGGGAGACAGTTTTCATCTTGTCCCTACTGCATTATGAGCCACGTGAAAGTAGCACCTGATCAGTTAAAGAAAAAAAATTTTTTTGAAGGCGCGCCTGTGAAAGCATGAACAAATGAGTGAAGGTTTGTTTTCACAGCGCCTATGGCACCTGTCCGTATCACATCAATTCTTTCAGGGACTCGTGGGCGGCGCATGCTTGAAACAAGGTGGCACAGGCCCAGGACCCTCGAGCCTGGGAGGCAGGGAAAGGTGGGTGGGCATGGGAAAGGCTCCTCTTGTCTGGAAGCCGTCCCCGAATTCTGAACCCCTCACGAGCCTCTGTTCTTCCTCCAACATCCACACCTTCCTCTGCTCACCCACGATTGTAAATTAATTCACCCGGGGGCGCCTGGGTGGCTCAGTGGGTTAAAGCCTCTGCCTTCTGCTCAGGTCATGATCTCAGGGTCCTCCGATCGAGCCCCGCATCGGGATCTCTGCTCAGCAGGGAGCCCGCTTCCTCCTCTCTCTCTCTGCCTGCCTCTCTGCCTCCTTGTGATCTCTCTCTCTCTGTCAAATAAATAAATAAAATCTTTAAAAAAAATAAAATAAAATAAATTAATTCATCCGTATGTTCATTCATCCGTTCCCTCCCTCCCACGCTCGAGAGGAAGTCTCCAAGCGCGCTGCACGCTGCCCGGGGAGGCTCACGGCCGGACGTCTGGGTGGGAGACAGGGTTTGTCCCCATGAGACTACAATTCCCATAGAGCCTCGGGGCTGCCGGAAGCGTCGATTGGCCCCCACCCCGCGCTCGTCCTGGACTGAAAGTGTCAAGGCCTCTCTCCGCTCTCTTCCCACCGCTGGGGACCAAGAGAAACGGCGCCCCAGTCCCCGCGCAGCCGACCGCCCTCACCTCCGGACAGCGACGTGGGCCAGCTGCTTCAGCTGGTCCGCTGGGGATGCGACTCCTCCCTGTGTCCTGCCTTACAGGACCCCTTTCCTGAGACAGCAGAGCTCAACCTCCATGTTCTCGGCGGAGGCGTTAGATTGCCAGGGACTGCCAGGATTGGAGGAGTCCGCGTGAGGCCCGCCCCTGACGGCGCGCAGAACCCTGCGCCAGACGCTCCCAGGCCCGCAGGGAAATGTAGTTCAGAGAAGAGGACGCTGCGCCTAGAGGCCAGCCGGGGGGCAGCAGAAGCTGCCTCTGCCGGAAGCTGGCTTTCTGCCTCATTTCTCTCTAATTTTTCCCTCCCCCGACTTTCTGTGTCTTTCCAACATCCTCCCTACTTCCTTCCATTTCCGGCTCTGTTTTCTCTTTTTTCTTTCTCTTTTCTCGGTTTGTCCCCCATCCTGGAGAATTTATTCCGCTCAGACTGTCAACTTAAAAATAAACTCAGTGAGTGCGCATCGAAGAGTTATTTACCTGGAGGAGGGAACTCGCAGGGTAGCACAGGCGGTTCCAGGAGGATGAGAAAGAACAAGAAGGGTGAAAGAAATGAGGAGCACTTGGGGTCGCGGGCCCGGGTGTCTCAGTTCCCGCTCAACTCTAACTGATACAACTCTAACCCCAAGCATGTGCGGCCTGGATTCCGATCAAAAGGTACTTCAGAGGGAAAGAATTCCTTCATTTAGGGAGATGAGCCCAAGCTGGCTTGGTAGACAATGCTAGGAAACACAGAGAGGGCTCCCAATCACCTTTTTTTTTTTTTTTTTTTTTGGTCCTACTGATAGGGTATGTGATCAAAGGAGTGAGACTGATACAAAGTGAAGGTCAAGCAAAGCTTTATTTCACGCCAAGCACACAGAATCAAACCGGCCAGTTGGGGCTGCCTCTTACAGAGCCTCATAGACTAACCTTTATAGAGCAAAGGCCATATGGTTGAGCCTGGCCACACACAGGTGGCCCATGAGATTGTAACACACAGAGAAAGCTGCACAGTCCTGCTAGGTCACACACAGGTGGCCAATTGAATTACAATTCACCCTATAGTAGCTATTTGAACTAGCCTATCACCTTGGTCAGAATTGGCACCCAAAAGGCAGGGCCCACATTCTTTAGGGAGATAGTGATTGGATGTCTCCACCTGGCCCAACTCAATCCTTGCATTCGGGCTCTGTTACCTCCACCTGACCTGATCCGCCCTTGTATTTGGGCTCTGTTATCAGGGACTGATCGACCATATGTTACTGCATAAACAAAAAAAATGACTATTTAATCCGAGATGGAATTGCTCTCGCTAAGTAGGCCCTTACACTACTGTTCAGTTCAGGTGAGTTTTCCTAAAAGTCTACCTCCTAACCCTAACCCTCCAGCTCCCTCCTTGCTGTCCCCCTTCTCTAGGTCTTCGAAAACTCTCCACCCATCTTTGCTGTCTCTCAAATGCCTGTCCTTTCTCTCCCCTTGCCTGTGTACACCCGTCCCTTGAATCTCGATAGCTGCATGTCTTGTCTTTGTGACTCTCCTTCCAGATGGATCCCTTCCTGACCCTCTGCCTTGCTAACTTCTCGGACATCCTGTCCACCCGGCCTGACTCTCGGATCCTCTGGCTTCTTATCTCATTCTCTAGGTCCCTGAGAGTAGAAACCCCTCTCTGTTGACTTTCTTTCCTCTCAGGGTCTTGTTCCCTGGATCTGTTCAGTTCCTTTCACTGTCTCTCCTCCCAGCTTTCTCTGCTCCTGAGCCCTGCAGGTTCTGGGCCTCTCCCGCCCCTAAGTCTTTGTGTCAGCCTCTCCTCACCTCTCCTCATCCTCTAGCCGGGCTTTCCTACCCCAGGCGGTACCCCCAGCCCCACCCCACCCCACCTCCCCCCTGCGCCTCTCAGATGCCCTCCGGGTCCCCACCCGGTTACCTTGGCGCGACCTAGCCCCGCCCCCCGCTCCCGGGCGCAAAGGCCCAGCCGACTACACTTCCCAGAAAGCACCGGGCCGAGCCTCTTCGCCATTTACAGTCGGGCTGGGCGCTGCAGGAGGCGCCCCCTTTACCGGCGAACGGTTGCCATGGAGACGTGGGCTGACGGCGTCCTAGTGAGAGCGGTGATTGGTGCAGACCCCTGCTAATCCCTGGAAGGCCCGTAAAGAACTGAGGAAAACGTGGTAGGGGGCATGCGCGGTTGGGAAGACGGTGCTGCTGTCCGTAGCCGCCTGAGAAGCTCGCGCAAGTAGACGGGGCATGGACGCCTGGATCTGAGGGGGCGAGCGAGGGAAGAGGCTGCCAGGCGTGTGATCTGGTCGTTGCGAACAACGCTACCCCGGGGAACGGGAGGAGGGTGGGAAAGGAGGCGAGCGTGGGGGAAGAGCAAGGTGGCACTCGGGCTGATGTGTGGAGCATTCTGGGAGACAGAGTCCGGCCGGGGAGGGGGAAGTCGGCGAGTGCGCCTACTTGCGAGCGCGGAGCGGCCCGCCAAGCGTGGAGGTGAGGGCGGGGACCTCTCACCGAGGGAGGCTGGGGCGGGGATCCGGGCGGAGGCCGCGGACTCTCGGATTCCGGCTGCCCGGCGGGACCCGGAGCGCGGAGCAGACGTCTAGGCGCTCCTTCTCCGGCGAGCCGGGCGCTGTCGCGCGATGCTCTTCAATCGCAGCGCACTGCCACGGCGACTAGGTCTCGGAGCCCCGCCCCCCTGGTTGCCATGGTGGCACTAAACCAGCTGGGGGAGGGGGAAGGCGGGCGGCTCTCTAAAGTGGAGGTTGCCTTCCAGGATTTCTGGTAGACGTAGTTCAGGAAGCTTCGCAGTGGCTGGCTGGCTAGCTGGCTGGCTGGCTTAAAAATGGTCCAACTTTCTCCCAGGGTTGCAGGTTGGCCTGGAACCTTGAGGATCGGAATTTTGACCCACGGGATCCGGCGGCCCTGGAAGTCGAATCTACTCACTTAATAAACTCAGATTTCTTCACAAAGCCCGCACATTACTCCCAGCTGCAAAGGGAGCAGCAATGGCGAGGGAAGGGGGGACAGCCCCACTTACGGGGGACGGTAAAGATGGGGAAACTGAGGTTCACAGAAACTAGCCAAGGTTATGTAGCAAATAGGCAAGATAAGAATCTCCGATCTTGCTTGCAGGCATCTGGTCCAGTTATCTTGGGGCCTTTGTGGGCCCCCTGTTAAGATCCCATCACCTCCTAACCCTGACTAAATCAGGGAGCTGAAGTAATGGTGGGGCATTACATGGTGTGATAACTTGGGCCGGTTCAGAGGATGGGACCGAATGGAGGGAGAGGGGGATGCTGCCTGGAAGTGTGGCCACAGAGTTGACCTTGCCCATGTGTGGGAGTGGGAAAGGCTGCCCTGTGGAACCAAGCTGAGAAGAGAATGGTCAGAGAGACTAGATGGGAGAGTGGGTGGTGCAATGATGGGGTGGTGTTCTGGGTGGTGTAGGGGGAGGGGGGCTGGAGTGTTTCTTATGGCCATGTGGTAAATACTGCAGATGTCATTTACTTGGCAGTGGGAGATCCGCACATCAGGGATGGCATGGTGCATGTAGAAGGGCAGGATTTGGGTCCGGGGGGTGGGGGGGATGCCTTCATATCCCTAAGAAGCACCCTGTGTTTGGAACAGGGGAATGCCAGACTGTGTGTAAGTCCCAGCTAAAGACCAGAGACACAGGTGCCTGGCATGTGACCACCTCTCTGTGCCTCAGTTTTCTTATCTGCCTTCCACTCAGTACAGGTCTGAAGATGGAACAACGAAGCATACAGTAGTCGCTCAATAAGCATTTACTGCCACTGTTTGTCCTCGCAGTAGCCTCACCCTCTTCCTCTCCTAGGGAAAGACATTATCCTCGGAGCCCCAGCCCAGTCTTTCCAATGAGGCCCGCAGCACTAGGCTCCCCAGGTCACACAGCCCTGGAAGATGAGGGGCCTGTCATGGTGAAGCTGGAGGACTCTGAGGAGGAGGGTGAGGCTGCCCCATGGGATCCCGGCCCAGAGGCTGCACGCCAGCGTTTTCGACACTTCCACTATGAGGAGGCACTGGGTCCCCAAGAGGCCCTGGCCCAACTCCGGGAGCTGTGCCGCCAGTGGCTGCAGCCCGAGGTGCACTCCAAGGAGCAGATGCTGGAGCTGCTGGTGCTGGAGCAGTTCCTGTGCGCACTGCCCCCCGAGATCCAGGCCCGTGTGGAGGGACAGCGGCCAGGCAGCCCTGAGGAGGCAGCTGCCCTAGTCGAGGGGCTACGCCAGGAGCCAGGAGGCCCCCGGAGATGGGTGAGTCAGTGGCCCTGAGCCAGGATCCAGGCTGGAACAGTATCCAGCTGTGCCTCCCCCTAGCAGGTGCCATGCTCAACCAAACACCTGTTCCTTGTGGTTTGAAGTAGTCACTTGCAGCAGACCTTGTATGGGAGTAGACAGGCTTCCAGGGCCAGCCTCACTGGCCCATCACTACATCGCCTGGAGTCATGGACATGGGAGGGGATGCAGGGTGGAGAGAGGGAGACCACTGAGCATTCGCAAGTGTAAGCAACAGGAGAGCAACTGCAGGTGGTTCCTTTACCCCTGACTCAGTGCTGGGGGAATGTAGGTCCTTGGAGAGCCTAGTAGGTCAGGACCTGGGGTCCTTTGATGAGGTAGATGCCTATGAACCCACTGCTTGTGCCCAGCTAAACTCTCCGCATGGGTCCCTAATGGCCAGGGGCACCTTCCCAGGTCACAGTCCAAATGCAAGGTCAGGAGGTGCTATCAGAGAAGATGGAGCCCTCCAACTTCCAGCCCCTCCTTCAAACCAAGCCTCAGACTCCAGAACATGGGCCTAGGACACCATCTGAAGCTACGCAGGAGTTACCATTGGGCCTTCGGATGAAAGAGGAGCCCACGGTTACAGATGACCCAGGTGAGGGTGGGCAAGGCATGCATGGCCCAAAGCCTGATGGAGTAGACCAGGGGAGCCTGGCCTCAACAGCCTAAAGGTCACCTGCTGGCTGGAACTATTCATATGCACTGGTGTCCCCCACCCCACCCCCATCCTGCCTAGCCAGTGGACATCACTGCTCCTCTCATGCCAAATCTGACTGCCACAGCTATGTTTCTGTGCTCTCCCCTGACATGAAGTAGGCTGTTGGGGTTCTGGGGTGGGGAGGAATGTGGGGTGCACTCCCAAGGAGACCCATTGGGAAACAATAGCTGGTCTCTGAGGAGGAGGTGGCAGGCTTGAATATAGGTGGGAGTGGCTGAGGGAGGACCCCAGAATGCTGGGAGGCAGCCCCTCTCTGTATTACTTCTTCCAGGTCTGTACCAGAGCTGGCCACCCACACTCTCCCTCATTCCTGTGTGGACCCTAGTACAGTGCTCCTATCCACCCTCGCTGGCCATCCTGCCCAGGGCTCATGCAGGGGTCTGTGTCCTGAGCCTGTCTCATCCTGCTAGAGCTTCTCCTGTGGCCTTCCAGGGGGTTCTGCCTTACTCCAGCCCCCAGTCTGGATTCCAACATCTGGCATACCACAGAAGAGGGCAGTGGGGTGGGGACACCCTTGGGCCACCTGACCCCAACTTTCCTCTACAGAGCTTCTGGATTCTGGGCCTCTAGCCAATCCCCAGGAGGCCACCTCCTCTCTCCTGCCTGAAGAGACCCAGGTGAGCCCATACAGGCCATCCTCCCTGTCTGGGGAGCCTCAGTGGGTGGGGATCAGGTGGGTCCCTTCCTTAGCCTAGCTGGGCATAGATGAGCAGTGACCACTGTGGTTTCAGGGCTGTGAAATAGTGCTGGACCAGGCCTCTCCTCACAGCGAAACTGGACTTGAGGGGCCTTCATGGAGGGAGCATCCTGGGGTCCTGTGGCAAGAGGAAGCTGGAGGCATCTTCCTTCCAGGTGAGTGAGACTGGGCATGGTGGGGCTGGGCCCTCTGCATGGGCAGCACCACATTTCACCTATCCCACTCCTGGCCCTGCTCAGGTTGCCCTCTCAGTCCAACATGTTCAAGCTCCTCCATTCCGTGGACTGTTTCTTGCAGCATATAACCTTCTGTGCTCTCCCCTGGCATGGAGTAGGCTGTTGGGAGTTTCCATCAAGCTCTCTGCTGAGTTCAGGTTCCCTCCAGCTGCTGCTTCCCACCACAGTAAAACCTGAGAGCAGGGCCTGTATTCCCCATACCCCCAACCTCTCCCATCCCTGGCATCCTAGATGGCCCACAGAGTCTGGGTTTGCCCCCACTAACTGGGTAGCAGGGGAGGGAGGGTCTGGATCTGCCAATGACAGCAGCTTAGTAGACAGTGGGTGGGCAGAGGGACCTTGACACAGGGTGTGGATGGTGCAGAGGAGGCCAGAAGCCCCTGCTGTCCACCTCAGCTATCTGCTCTCAGTCGGCCATCGTCCAGTCTCTCTGCCTCTTCTTCCTTGTTTCCTGGACTGCTCCTCTTCCTTGGTTTACTCCCTTGTTCTGGTGGACCTTCCTGGGAACCGTGATAAAAAGTTCTTGATAAACCGTGATAAAAAGATAAAAAGTTCTGAGATGCTATATCTCTTAAAACACTTACCTAACATTCTATATTAGGCTAGTTGGGCTACATGAAGAATTCTTTTTACTAATTCAGTTTCAAAGCTTTTTCATCATCTTTGTGGGTAAGCCCTTTCGGTTTGAAATCTATCCCTCTCAATTGTGGGAAACTGGCTTGAATTACTTCTCTGATTTCCTTTCCCTCCACTGTTTTGTTCCCTTGTTTCTGGAACGTGTATTCCTTGGCTGTTGGCTATACTGCTTCCTCAGTGTGGTCTCACAGCCTCAACCCAGCCTTTTGCCAAAATGAGAGAAGAGATCCAGGAATCAAAGCTACATCAATGCCCGCTATCTGCTCAGAATTCTGTGCTGAGAGTGTCCAGGGCTGGTCCATGTAGTAGTTCTGAACAGCCTCCCCAGCATGCTTGGTGGCCTCGCCCCTTCACCTCCATGGCCAGAGCTACCTGGTACCTCTAATCCCAAACTTTTCGAGTCTTCTTCAGAATCAGATTGATTTTTTTTTTCTCAAGCAAGGCACGTCAGACCAAAGTGTTGCCGCCTGTCCCCTCTGATCTCCATTTCTCTCGTGTTGGCTCCACTTCCAGCCTCCCTCAGACCCACCCACTTGAGTGTATTTGTAGAAACCATCATCACTATTGCAAGGCCACCTGTCCCATATGTGTCCTGTAGCCCTTCCAGAAAGGCAACTTTTGCAAACTTAAGTCAGGCCTGGAAAGCTTGTCCCCGTCTTCTAAATCTTCCTCATACTAGGTTCTGCCTCACTGGCTAGTTTCAGGTCCCTCTAGTTCACCCTATTTACCATGGGCTGGAATGGGTCCAGGCACAGCTCTCTTGGTATGACTGAGTGGATCCCGTTGTGCAATGCAGGGTCTGCCCTCCACATGGACAGTGTCTCTGCTGGCCCAGGCACTGTGAGCCCCCACCTCCACATCCCGTGGGACCTCGGCATGGCCAGCCTCACAGACCAACTCCGGTCGCCCTCCCATGAAAGTGGCTTCTCACATGCACTTGTGCTCCCCAGTGGCCCCGGAGGTGAGCAGAACCCCACGAACGAGGGTCCTCACCAGCTCCTGGGCCCCATACTGGCCACTGGCCGCTGGCCTACACCCAGGACCGAAGGCCAGGGACGGGGTCGCCCCAGCACATGCCCCGGGGTGGGGCGGGGTGGCCGCTGCGACGTGTGTGGGAAGGTATTCAGCCAGCGCAGCAACCTACTGAGGCACCAGAAGATACACACAGGAGAGCGACCATTCGTGTGCAGCGAGTGTGGCCGAAGCTTCAGCAGAAGCTCACACCTTCTGCGTCATCAACTCACACACACTGAGGAGTGGCCATTTGTGTGCGGCGACTGTGGTCAGGGCTTCGTGCGCAGCGCGCGCCTGGAGGAGCACCGGCGAGTGCACACGGGCGAGCAGCCCTTCCACTGCGCAGAGTGCGGCCAGAGCTTCCGGCAGCGCTCCAACCTGCTGCAGCACCAGCGCATCCATGGCGACCCCCCTGGCCCGGGCGCTGCGCCCCCCACGTCTCCCGGTGCCCCGGAGCCCCCAGGCCCCTTCCCCTGCAGCGAGTGCCGTGAGAGCTTCGCGCGGCGAGCCATGCTCCTGGAACACCAGGCGGTGCACACGAGCGACAAATCCTTTGGCTGCGTGGAGTGTGGGGAGCGTTTCGGCCGCCGCTCCGTGTTGCTGCAGCACCGGCGAGTCCACAGTGGAGAGCGGCCCTTTGCCTGTGCCGAGTGCGGCCAGAGCTTCCGCCAGCGCTCCAACCTCACGCAGCACCGGCGCATCCACACCGGCGAGCGGCCCTTCGCCTGCGCTGAGTGTGGCAAGGCCTTCCGCCAGCGGCCCACGCTCACGCAACACCTGCGCGTGCACACGGGCGAGAAGCCCTTCGCCTGCCCGGAGTGTGGCCAGCGCTTCAGCCAGCGTCTGAAGCTCACGCGCCACCAGCGGACGCACACCGGGGAGAAACCCTACCACTGCAGTGAGTGTGGCCTGGGCTTCACGCAAGTGTCACGGCTCACCGAGCACCAGCGGATCCATACCGGGGAGCGGCCCTTCGTTTGCCCTGACTGCGGCCAGAGCTTCCGGCAGCACGCCAACCTCACGCAGCACCGGCGCATCCACACAGGCGAGCGGCCCTACGCGTGCCCGGAGTGCGGCAAGGCCTTCCGCCAGCGGCCCACGCTCACACAGCACCTGCGCACCCACCGGCGGGAGAAGCCCTTTGCCTGCCAGGATTGCGGCCGCCGCTTCCACCAGAGCACTAAGCTCATCCAGCACCAGCGCATCCACAGTGCGGAGTAACGGCACTCACCGTACCCCTTCTTCTCTGCGTCTCCGCTTCTGGCCTTTGGTTACAGAGGAGGGTCTTCGCTCTGAACACTAACCTCACAGGGTTGCTGTGAGGCCTCTGATCAAGTCTGGGTACAGACGGGCCCACTCAGGACCTGGCGCCCAGTAGGAGCTCAATAAACAGTAGATGGACCGTGGGTCTGGAAATCTACACACTCAGTGCCTCCCGACCTGTACAGGTCCCTCTTCCCCCCACCATCTACCACTTCGGCAACCATGCAGTCTCTGAGAGCCATAGACTCCTAGCAGCCTCTCCCAAGGGCTACGGATGCCACCTTGTACTGTGGCTCCTGTACTGTTTGCCATGACAGCTTCAACCCGCACAACCATGGGCCAAGCCAACTGCCAGGTGAGACTGGCCCAGTTTTCCCCTACCAGCCAAGATCATCAAGGGCAGTACAAGTAGCAAACTGGTGCCCAGAAGGCCAGAGCTAGGGATGTGTCTATAAAACTTTAACCTTAGGAAGCTATTTCTTAGGCATAAAAGCTAGAAGGTTTTATCTAGAAATCTAGATTTTTTTCATGCATGTTAACTACCAGCAGATGCTGAGGTTAGGTTCCCCTTAGGATACCCCAGCCTGTCCAGAAATCAAAGTCCACTGGAGGCCCCAGGCCAGTTCTCTATCCCCCTAGTGATCATCCACATTCTGTGGGCCACAGCTGCCACCAACCCTGGCCAGGTGTGCAACCCCCAAGGGCTCCCCAACACTGGGTGGTGGTCCCTATGAAGAATGTGTTCAGCAGCAAGTCACAGGAATCACAGCTGTCAGCAGCTTACATAAAAGTGCGGATGCTGCCAGTGCAGGTTCGGTGGCTTGTACACTGGGCTGGCATCTCGAACCCTCTGGACTTTTCACATGCCATTGCTTCTTGCCCTAATTATCTTTCCCTTCCATCCAAATTGTGCAGACTCTTGACCTAGTGCGCCCCCCAACCCCAACCAGTGGGTACCCTGGGGGCCAAAAGCGGAATGAGAAGCAGTGCCAAAGGAAAGATCTTCATGCATCAGGATCTGGCTGGGGACATATACCCCACTCTGGGCAGGTATCAGCCTGCCCTTGGCCTGAGGGGTTCTAAGAACAACCTTTTGAGGCTCATGTGTCTAAGCTTCTTCCAGGGATACAGCTGGACTTTGCTACAAGACTGGGGTCCTGAAATCAGGGAAAGAAGCCAGCCTCAGCCAGAAGCTTCTAGTAGCCATCCCAAAGAAGGTGTGTTCCCTACCTCTTTCCCTCCCCCACTCCACCCCTCTCCACCGCCCCCCTGACCTACCCCCAGCCAGGACCAGGGCCACTCTGGCATCTACATCTGGCAAAGTCAACAACTCCCCATGTAGGGGTACTTCCATGTGGCACCGTTGGGAGGTGGGGGGAGGCCACCTGGGCCCTAGGCCAATACTTCTGTCCTCCTAACCACAAACAGAACTCTTAAGGACCATGACCTGGGATATACTAATCAGAGGGGTAGAAAGCAGTCACTGGGTCCCTAGGTGGAGGCTAGGAGTCAGATTAAGGAAGGCGCACAAATACTGAGGTAGCTAGTGCTGTGAGGTTGAGTATTGCCGAACTTTATAAATCCTGTAACATGGATTTTTTCAAGTCCTGTGTGAATTTTATACTCAGAAACAAAGAGGACAAGAAAGCTTACTCTTGTGTTTTGATCATCTTGGTGTTTGAAGAACATGAAGAGAAATCTGCACACGTATGACTAAGAACCTGAAATTACACACAGGAAAAATTATAACACACGTGAAAGGCATGGCGACAACAGGCCAGGGCCCAGTGCCCAAAGTCATAAGTCCACAGACTCGCCTGCTGAGCCAGTCCTCTAAGAAAGAAACATGAAGTGATGGGAGAGTCCCCCATGAAGGGTCATTTCTGCAGTTGGCTGGGGTCAGCCCTGCAAGCCAGGCTGTGGGTTGTGAACCCAAATGCTACCATACTATCAGCAGGGCTGAGGGCTTGGACAGAATAACCACTTGGCCTCATTCGGCCAGAACCATAGGAGGAAGGCAGGAGAGGAACCCCTAAGACAACTGGTCACCTGGGGAAGCTGCAACAGCGCCCAACCAGCCTGTCCCTGGATCATCTGTACCTGAGCCCATACAATTTGCTCCCAAGCACACCCTCCCCATGCCACATCCATCCAGTTATTCTTACCCCCAACCCCAAGCTTCCCAAATCTGTCCAATTCTCTCCAACCCCCCAGCACTGCTCTGATCCCAGCCCTCCATCTCCAGCCTGGAGGCCCACAGCACTCAGCCTCCCTTCCCTGCCCACTCCTGCCACTCGTTTCCAAAACAGACCCTTGCTTCTCAGTGACAGGTCCCAGAGGCTACGCTGACGCACCAGGTGCACTGGCACCCTCACTCTGCACCTGTCATATGCTGCCCAATTCCTCCAGGTGCCAGTCCCAGCTTCCCTCTGGAACTTTGATATGCAGAGCCCTATGCTGTGTCCCAAGAGGATGCAGACCCAAGGGGTACGGCACTCTCACCGCTCAACACCTGTACCATGAGAGTAACAAGGAAAACACAGGTGCACCACTTCCAACCCAAAACCCTGTCTCAGCTCAGCCATCCCCTCCTCCCTGGCCCAGGCCCCATGGCTCTGCATTTTCTTGCATGGCTAAGTCTTCCCCCACTGATGGTGGGAAAGCCATGAGGTCAGAGACCACAAGAGTCTAGCTTTGACTAGTGCAGCAAGCACCACCTCTCCAAGGAACCAATACCCTATCCTCAGATGGGCCTTCAACTGATAGCCTCAGAAACGGGGCTGAGGATAGACACATGGTTTAGGCTGACCCACAGGCAACACCCTTGAGACTTTGGCTGCAAACTGAATGGTCATCAACCCTCCCCTGGCGATGGCCCGTACAAGGGCAGGAAAACCAGAGTGGCTGAGAAGAACAGGAAGGGATAGAGGAAGAGGAAGATGGCAGTCTGGAGGGGCCACCCGAGTCCCATGACCAGCCATGTCTGGAGCCTAAGAACACTGGGATGATTGCAATGTCAGCCCCAAACTTAGGCTGTTGGCTGTTTCTGAGTCCTCGTTCTCGTCCTGGCACCTCGAGCCAAGAAAGGATGCTGGGAATGTGAGGCCAGGATAACGGGACAACCAGAGGCACAAAAGGGGTGTCTGGGATGGTGGTACTGAGAAGCGAAGGGCCTAAAGAGGGAGCAGTCCGAGGAGCCCGGGGACGTCCACGGTACCCGAAAACCCACAAGGCGGGAACTCTAAGGAAGGAGGCTGGGGCCAGCCCAAGACCCGAAAAGGTGGAGGTGATGATAGGGGCCGAGACGGACACCAGGTCGGGTCTGAGGAGGCGCTGGCGGGGAGCGGGCGTCAGGGCGACTCCCCTGAGGCGAAGCCGAGAGGAGCCCGGGAGCACCCCTGCCTGACAGGACAGCCAAGACTACTTCCCCAGGGCTCTGGGCGATGACGACAGGTCGCCTCCGAGACCGAAGGGGACGCGCAGCGCGGGCCGCACACGGCGCAGCTCTGGCCAGGAGCTCCCACCCACCCAACCGGCCCCAGGCCGCGCAGCTCACCCGCCCGACGGCTTCCGCAGCGACCGCCGGAAGTCCCCGCGCCGGCCCGCTCCGCTTCCTCCCGCCCTCCGAGGCCCACTGCGCGGGGTGTGATTGGAGCGGAGGCTGGCCGCACGGGCGGCGGAAGGTCGCAGGATGTCTCCGCGGGAACTCGGGCCCGGCTCCGAGAGGGCCCCCGCCCCACGTCCTAGCCAGTGTCCACGCGTGTCAACCCCCGAAGTGCTTACCACTCTAGCACGAAACACGTTTTATTTGCTAGTTTACCTCAGCCAGAATCTCCGCGCGTGCGTGGCGTTTGCGATGAGACACCGAGGGCGCCCGACCCCGCCCTCTTTGGGCAAAGCCTATGGCCTCGCCCGGCCTCCGGCCCGCCGTGATCACCCTGCCACTATGATCTCCTAGGGCAAGGCCTCGTAGGACCCACCCACGCCGCACTCTGCACAAGCGGACTGCGAGCCGAGAGACCGCATCTGCCCTACTTAAAGATGGCGGCGGCACCGCCCGTGCGTGGACCCGCGAGCGTCCCCGGAAATGACCGCGGGACGGCCTGCGCGAACGGAAATACCCGAGCCCAGCCGAACAAGTCCGAATATCAAGACCTATCGCAGAGCAACGCTGGGCGGCGGTCGCGGCAGCGGTGGCAGCGGCGGCGGCTGCGCAGGCGCACAGAGCAGGCCGGGCGAGAAGAGCCGAAGTGGGCAAGCGGCGGAAATATCCGAAGCGGTGGGGCGCCCGAGGCCGTTGCGGACCTCCGCGCCGAAGCTGCTGCTGCCGCGGAAACCGAGCCTCTTCCAGTACACAGCAGCCGCCACCGCGGCCGCCGCCTCCTCCTTCCCCTCGAGCCGCACCCCCTCGCGGTGGTAGCGAGTAAACAGGCGGCGCGGACGCAGCTGAGCCTCAGGGGACCTAAGCGGGCGAGGGGGAGGAGGGAGCGGCCGGGTGGGGGCGGGGCCGAGTAGGCCCGAGAACAGCCGAGTCGGCCCGAGCGCCGCCGAGCGAGCCCGAGGCGCCGGGCCAGGTCGGAGCCGGACTACGGGAGCCGACGCGGGCCGCGCGGTGGGCGCGGAGCGGCGCGGCAGGCCGGGCGGGCGGCGGCAGCAGCGGAGGAGGCCGCGAAGGCGGGTTCGAGTGGCGGAGGCGGCGCGGGCGGCGGCAGGGGGCCGGGTGGCCGGGGTCCCGGGCCCCGCAGCGGCGGCAGCGGCGGCGGCGGCAGGATGATCAAGCTGTTCTCGCTGAAGCAGCAGAAGAAGGAGGAGGAGTCGGCGGGCGGCACCAAGGGCAGCAGCAAGAAGGCGTCGGCTGCGCAGCTGCGGATCCAGAAGGGTAGGGGGTCGGAGGATGGGAGTGGGGGTCGGAGGTCAGCGGCTGGAGTGAGGTGATGTAGGAGTCAGGAGTTGGTTAATGCAGTCACCGGGGGTCGGAGGTTAGGGTGGGTGTCGGTGTGATGGAAGATCAGGAGTAATGCAGTCACGGGGGAGGGGGGTCAAAGATAGGGGCCGAATGTGGGGCACTTAGGATACCCAGAAAGCCGGACGCCTTCCATTAGTGACCGAGAATCGGAGAGTTAGGCAGCTTCGTGCAGGAAGCTGGAGACTCCACAGAGTCTGGGGGTCAGACAGGAACATGGGTGATAGGCAGAGGAGATTGGATGGGAGACTGAGGACTGGGGATAGGAATCGGAGAGGATTTAGTGAAGTATGTTGGGGTCTTGGGGACTCTGAAAGTGAGATAGAGTGTAATCAGTTTTGGGCACTGCGATTTGTGGGTCTGGGGGGGGTCACATGGCAAGTTGGAGTTTGGGGTGACACGTGGAGGAAGGAAGAACAGTGTGTGCCAGGGATTGGAGATGGGAGTAGGATTGCATTTTTAGAGTATTATGCTGGAGGTGCTGGGAATCTTAGAGGCTGCTTAGAGGGGTACAGGAAGGGGAATTCATGTGTCTGAGGGTCGGATGGATCCCTGAATTTAGGGTGACAACCAGAGAAGAGGAGGATCAGTGGGGACAGGACTGGTGAGGAGATGATGGGGGGCAGGGTCCTTGAGTTTGGGTGGGCAGGAGGGGACCAGCATTGTCCACTAGAAAATGGAGGTATGGCTGAGGATCCTGGTGTTTGGGGTAGTTGGAGGCTCTTGGGGGCCACACAGGGATGGGGGCATTTGGAGCTGGGTACCCAGATGTTGGGTGCTAAGACTTCAGGCTATGGATTCAAAAGAGTTGGAACTTACCCTGGACCAGGAGATACAGTTAGCCACAGTTGAAAATGCATGTTTGAGGCGTGCTATGGACCTAGAAGAGTCTGCCTGGAGACTAGGAAGCAGAAAGAGCAGGGAGAGGATTGGGGCTATGGGGCACAGCCAGGACAGAGCCTTGAGGATCGTAGAGGAGGCCTGGGTGCTATGCCAGCACCTGCACCTGCTCTGAGTGCTCTCCTCTCTCCCTCTCCTTGTTCTGCTTCTCTGCTTTGCAAACCCAGACATAAACGAGCTGAACCTGCCCAAGACGTGTGACATCAGCTTCTCAGATCCAGACGATCTCCTCAACTTCAAGCTGGTTATCTGTCCTGATGAGGTAAGGGCACATTCAGCTGGACTCCCAGGCATGGGCCAGGGTGCTGGGAGGGGGGAACACCTGGAATTAAGAGACCTGGTTTATGTGCCAGGCCCTGCAGGATGGTGTCCTAAGACTTTTTCTCTTTCTCCTCACAGGGCTTCTACAAGAGTGGAAAGTTTGTGTTCAGTTTTAAGGTGAGTCCCGGGTGCACAGGGATAGAGGGATAGAGGCAACAGCTGAGGCTTGCCCCAGCCAGGCACTGCTAGGGTGCCTCTCTATCTTCTCTCTCTTCTTGGAGCCAGGTGGGCCAGGGTTACCCACATGATCCCCCCAAGGTGAAGTGTGAGACGATGGTCTATCATCCCAACATTGACCTCGAGGGCAATGTCTGCCTCAACATCCTCAGGTGAGGGCCCTGACTTTAGACTGCACGGGTCTCTGTCCCTTCCCTCCCTCTTGTGGTTTGTGGTTTTCTATCTTTTCATCTCCACATTTTCTTCCTTAAGTCTCGACCTTAGCCTTCTCCCTGGCCTATCCTGCTGTGTGCTTTCCTCCTAGCCTCTCACATCTGCACCATCCTGTGCCCTGGGCCTGACCGGTTCAGTCCCAGCATGCTCTGTGGTTGGCAATCCACTCACCAGCCCCTGACCCTGATTCTCTGTCCACAGAGAGGACTGGAAGCCAGTCCTTACGATAAACTCCATAATTTATGGCCTGCAGTATCTCTTCTTGGTGAGTAAGGGTGGGTGGGTGAGGCTGGGGAAGGTTGGCCCTCTCTGCTCTTAGGGCCTGTTGACCCCCACCCATACCGGCCACAGGAGCCCAACCCCGAAGACCCACTGAACAAGGAGGCCGCCGAGGTCCTGCAGAACAACCGGCGGCTGTTTGAGCAGAATGTGCAGCGCTCCATGCGAGGTGGCTATATCGGCTCCACCTACTTCGAGCGCTGCCTGAAATAGGGTTGGCGCACACCCACCCCTGCCAGGGCCACCAGCCCCGGCGTCCCCTGCAAATATTTATTGGGGGCCACAGGTGGGGGGCATGGGGTGGCCGGTGGGGGAATCCCATGCCCTGGCCTTGCCTCCCCTCCCTGCCACCCGCTCCTAGTTATTATTTTTTAACCACCATGTGATTAAGGTCGGCGCTGCCTACCCCGACCCGCTCAGCGATGGGAAATGAATTGGCTTGTCTAGCCCCCAGCTGGGTGCTGTCCAGCCCCCCACTCTGGGCTCTGGGGTGGGTGGCTAAGGGGACTGGGTGGCTGGGGCTGGGGCACTCCACCCCTCCACCACTGGAGGTCCCACCAGGCTATTAAAGGGGAATGTTACTGCATGGCCTCTGCCTCTTCCTTCTGTGGGGGTGGGAGGGGCAGGTGATGTCCACCAGAGCTCTTGCAGCAAGAGTGGTGGGAGATGTGTGGTTACAAGTGGTACTGGGGCATCCTTCAGCAAGCTCCCCAGTGCCTGAAACAGCCTGGGGGGTAATGGGGGACAACATCCCAAGCCTCAGGCTGTGTGGGATGAATCCCAGTGTGTGACCAGCGAGGGGCAGAACCAGTAACCACTCACTTCGTGCTTGGTAAGGCAGTATAGAAGAAAGTCCGTGCCATCTCCAGCTCTGCCCCCCTCCTGCGCCGATTGGGCCCACCAAGAACCCTCCCTGGTGCTACCAGGTGCCTGAGATCCAGAAACATTAGGGAAACGGTGTCCGTCGGATGAGCTGGGCCCTCTAGTGGGTTCGGTGGTGGGATGCGGGACCTCTGGGGTGGCCGGACGGAGGGCGCCCGAAGATGCATCAACCCAGTGGGACTGGGGTCCCAGGACTGGGTCAGCTGGAACCTGTGGAACGCTCTCAGGCGGGCCCAAGAGAGACGGAAGGTGGTGCGCATGCGCCTGGACGACAGCCTGCTTGCGCACGCGCGATCTTATCCCCGCCCATCGTTCCGGGTGCCGGTGGAGCTTGTGACGTCAGACCGTTTCTTCCGGAAACGGCGGGGACGGCAGAAAGAACCGAGGGGTTATCGTTGGTGGGTGCGCCTGTAAGACGAGAGAGGAGCGTAACCCGGAAGCGGAAGCGGATTCCGTCCCGGCTCCGGTGAGTGGCCCCTGCCGGGCCGCGGGTCCCGGGTGGGTGCGTGGGCGACGGCATACGAGGGCCTCGACGCCGGGGTGTCGACTGTCTCGCCCATCCACGGGACCCTAGCCTCATCATCGAGGCACTTTGCTCTCGGTGTGCGGGCCTCTCAGCGCCCTCCAGGTTCTGTCCTGGATGAACAAGGCTCCCCATCGTCCATTATACCGTTCCAGGTGTACCGGGGTCCCTGAGGACCCCAGATTCTTCCAGATCCTTATGTCCTTAGTGTACCGGGTGCTCCAGTGCCCCACAACCATATTATTCGCACCCAGGTTGCCTCCCCATTCAGACCTCCCCACAATCTGAATGCTAATTCATATGTTGTCAGCTTCAGAACCCCTATATCCACTTTGTTCTTGGCACTCAGACCCTCCACCTACCTTGCCATCCCGTGGGGCCCCCACGTTTGCCCTATCCTTGCCCCTCAGGTTCCACATGCTCCCAGGGCACTTTCACACAACCATTTCCATTCTTAATCCATCAGACTCCAGGGCCTTACTATGGCCTGGAGAGGCTGAAGCCTTGAACCTCCTTTGGGACACTATGATGAAGGGCTGGGGTGGCGGATGACTTTCAGATTTTGCTGGCCCTGTTTTTTTGTTTTAGTTATTGTTTTTGTTTTCCCTTAAAGATTTTATTTGACAGAGATCACCAGTAGGCAGAGAGGCAGGTAGAGAGGAAGAGAAGCAGGCTCCCTGCTTTGCAGAGAGCCCAATGTGGGGCTCGACCCCAGGACCCCAGGATCATGACCTGAGCCAAAGGCAGAG